AGAGCGATTTCTAACCCAGATTTTCCTTAAAGAGTCTCTTCATTTGAAATTTCACTAATCGAGCTTTTAAAGGCAGTTTTAAATCGAAGTGTTATCAGTTTCTTGGTTAATTTTATGCCGATTTCACGCCGCCACTGTTATTCGCCAATCGACGCTGATCTCATAAAAGCACTTCGGATCGCCATAAAAAAAAGTGCGAGCAATTCACAAGATTAAGTGGAGAACAAAGCGAAGAGAAGTCTAATGCCTCGACATAGAATTTGCGGTATTTATGGGCTCGGAGGTGCATGAAAAATAAAACTCACAATCGATGAATTGCGTCAATTCGTGCTCGAGAGGCTGCGAAGTCTTCCAGATTCCCTCGGCAATTAGCCATCACGCAATTTCTGTGTTCTAACGCCGCTTGGCCATCGGTTTTGGGTGAGCCAACACTGCGCGATTGTTGCGGTTTATGGAGGTTAACAGGGTTCAGAGAGTCGATTAAATGGGATTCATCTCAGACGTGAAATCATGCTCAATCGAGGCCTAATGATTGTTGGTTTTGCGCGCACTTCAGAAACTTCCACTTGCCGCGGCAAATTGGCCGCACTTCGTGAGCTTTTGGGCTCCTCGCCGTGCCACCTGTTGAAGTCTTCTGGCTTTTCGCTCACTTTTTCTGGGGCCACAATTGGAGTACGGATGGCTTTCCACCGCACACAGCAGCCCGATTGCGCTTAATTGGCGCGCACAGCGAGAGATTTGCGCGCCTTTCCCAAAAGGCGCTCGCGCGATTTGTGTGTGCGAAAAATTGAGATACAATTGGTGGCGCGATTCACCAGCAAATTGCCAGTAAATTAATTGAATTTGATGGGTGAGAAGTATACGAAGTGATTCCCATATTCTAAAACACACTCCACACATTGCAATTGGAAAATAATACAAAGTTGAGAAAGAGATTTCACGTTCACTTATTTGCATAGATGCATTTTGCCAGTCTGTTGCTACAAAATAAATAATAAATATTCCACTATCCCGTCTCTCAATCTCGCATTCGCTACCATGTGACACTTCAAGGCGATTCCGAGAGTCCCTCACAAGCAGTCTCAAATTGCATTTTCACGTGGCACACAAGAGGCGCATTATGAAATTATATGCATTTCCAAATGCAACAACACAGCATTGAATTGGCGGGAAAATGCATCTTCACATTGGCAACTTCCTATACAGAATAAAAGCGACCCAAAAACATCACAGAGAGAGAAACATTACATTGCTCAGAGCCTGAGAAAAATGAGCACAAAAAGTCACATGAAATTGGCCAAACAAGAATTTCACGCAACACTCTTTGGAGGTGTGATTAGGGAATTTATACGGGATCTTTTCTTCAATCCGAAAGGTGAGCAATTCTCAGGTTTTTAGGCCGCCTTCTCTCCAGACCACCAATTATTTCAGCCAGCAACGAGACTCAAATTGCTCCATCGAGTGATTGAATAATTTTATTATTATGCGCAGCAAAGTCAACGAGATTCTCGTCTTTTTGTCATTTTGTCGAGGAAGTTACTGTTGTTCTTACTTCTGTCTCATGATGATAGATAATAGTTGTGTGTCTGTGTCATTTCTGCTAGAGTGATATGATTTCCTGTAATTCAATTCAAGCAATATTTTGACAAACGAAATTAAAAGAAACAACATTAGAAGACACATTTTTTGCCTCCTGTTTTGGTTCTAAAGTTCAAAATAACACAAGGAGAAGAATATTAGCTTCTAATCTGTACAACACTTCCAGAACTTGAAATTTCTAGACTGTTTCCACAATAATTCGCAAATTATACCAAATATCTTAAGATTCCATGAGATATTTCTCTAAAAATCCACTAAAAACCGCTAATTTCAGCGTCCTTTCCGACCATAACCTCAAAAATATTACTAAGAGATCTTAAAAGACTAAAATTGGGAGCTTTCATGGTAATAAAATCTTCTTTTATGAGTTTCCACTAAACTTAAAATTGATTATTCAGAGTTAAAATCCTGCAGAAATTAGTCAAAATAAACATTTTAAAAGTCCACAAGACTTTTTTTGAGGTTATGTTTATTCTTAATGTGATTTACTGTGTTTCTTTGCATCAATGATGTAAAATAGCACTGTTTATTGCGATTTCTCTGACTTAAGCATAAGAATTGATGTCCTAAAATGCGAATTTATTGACTAAATCTGTCCTTGATTCGTAACATAACCTAGAAAAAGATTATTATGATTGTTTCTACGTAAAAATCGAAGGAGATCCAAAGAATAGGAAAAGGAATATTTTAAGTTTTGAAACACTTTTACTTCCCAAGATTTCCGTTGAACACTTAAAGTTTAGAATAACATTTACTGGCAAACTTGGTATAAAATATTTGTAAAACATTAGCAATTATACTGTGAAATTGCTCTCACTAGTAATTATATTTACAATCCCGCATTCTTAAATCATTCGCTGACATTTCCATCTTCGTTTCGCTTGAGACGCATTTCCAGGCGATTAATTATGCTGCCCAGCGTGCATATTGGATTGTCAACTGTGCATTGGAAGTGTCCAATTGACTCTCTTTGCTTTCCACTGTGGAATAAATCGAAGCACCATTAATCAAGAGGCTTTGGGCGGCATGTGGAAGAAATGGCGAGATTTCACAACGGAGTAAGACACCGTCGCCCACGCGTTGACACCGCAAATTGCAGCCGGAAAAGTGAAAAATCCGCCACCAAGCAATTTGCAAGAGTGCCAGTCGTGCTGGAGGTGAACAGCAACCTTGACAGGGTCATCCCACACTCTCGCGAGCGCCGTTGGTGGTGCCGATGGACTCCAACGCTGCCCGGATCGTGCCAGAGTCCCATTTAATTTTAGCCCACGAGGCGCGCCAGAAATGTGCCACATCGCGGAGAGAAGGTATTTCCGGAAATATGCTGACATGTTGGCCGCCTCATCTGTTCCAGAGGAATTTCAAACAGTACACATTTCTTTCGCCCTCGTACTTTGTTGCAATTAATTGGCATATTAAGGTTATTTATATGGTGACATGTTCTTCCAGCCCGAATTGCCTAAACACTCATCATTGGCATGATGAATGCCGCAATATTGATACTCTCCGGCAAGGGGGAGATAATACGCCTTGAATCTGTACACGACGCAGAATATATTCAACACCTCAGACACTTCTGAACGCATTTAAAGGCATTTTCGATCGCTTTTGAGACCTTTTCAACTGTTTCTCACACTCAATTCTGACTTATCACAATCAAAAAATGCTTAAAAACATTCTGATCAAATTGTGAGGTTATGAATCCGATGAAAAATCTATCTTGGACTAATTTTAACAAGAATTTTAATCTTTTCACAGGATATCTCAAGGATTCTACAAGTTAAATAGGTTCAATTTCCCACTTTTATGCACGAACCGCAGAAATAACTAAGAAAATAGACAACAAATATGAAGGTTTTTCTATAAGAAATGCTTAAATCTGCTAAGAAAAATAGAAATATTCCCAGGTTAAACATAAAATTGATGATTTTGTAGGTTATTTAATCACCAAAATCTGTCTTAAAACAATCACATAACCTAAAAAAAAGCAATAAAATCGATTTTCCTACGTGAAATAAGTTGAAAAATGTCTCAATTTGTTGAAAAGAAGCTTTTGCAGTGCAATTAGAAATAATCCAACACTTCCGCAAAGCTGTACACCACTTCTGACCATAATATCTTCCCCTTTGGACACTCTCTGTCGCTGCGTGGCGTTGAGCAACATCCTCACAAAGTTCTGGAATTGTGAGTGATGTTAGGAAGAGGAAGAAAGACGCAGTATGAATCGCGTAAGGTGATATTAATTGGGTGAAAAAGTGGGTCAAAAAGTGTGTAATGTGAAATCGAAAATCCCGCAGTGTTGAGGCATTGTGCGGCCGGTAAACATTGCACGTTAAATAAGATGCGCCTCACGAGCAATGGTCCATGTGAGATCGCTGGGCAAACAATGGAATATTCAATGAATCGGAATGGCACAAAAAAAAATTGTCAGAGAAACCTAATGAGAAGTGTAGATGGAGATTTTCACTGAAATTTCCTTTTCTATTGCGCGGTGTGTGTTGAGACAATGTGTGGCAATTTGCAGTGACTTTTCCAACAAATCCACCCAATTGAGTGTCTCTCACTCTCTGGGTGGGAGTATTTCCTCCCCACACTTTCTGCGCGGCGTCTATTTATAATTGAAAAGGAAAATATATTTCTTTTCCAATTGGAGCCACTCGTCAAAGTGCAGCCGTCAAGTGTGTTCCCAATTTCTCAATTTTAAATAAATATATTATCTCCCAGGCGAAAAATCACTCCGTGCGATGACTATAAATAAAGTCATTCGTCATGTCGATATTATACAATCGAATTGTTCACCACGATTCCCATGAGTTTTGCCCAATAGGTAACACAGGAGGGCAGTTCTTTAACGCCCAAAAGAATAATTATAAATTATCGCGCGCACGGTGAAAAGGTTGCGAGTATCTCAAGGTTCGCTTAATTGGCACTGCGGATTTTCTGCAAAATGTTAAATCCATCGAGAAGAATGGTCATCGCGATTTTAGGTCACGAGCCCATCCAACGGAGGAAAACCGCGCGCACTGCATTTTTGCGTGCCCATCGAAAACGTTCTTGCCAATGTGACAAGCGCGGAAAGAAATCCAAGAATGCATCCCAAGAGTTGTTTCGCAATAAAGTCCAGAAATTCGATCTCGCGGCAATTTCTCATCTTGCCCAGCGCATATTGAATTCTCTCACAGCTCAGGAAATTTAATAACAATGTGGAAATTTTTCCTCTGTGGCCTTTTCTTCGCCACATTGTGTGTGTGTGTTTGTGTGTGAGATTGTAAGAAAGTTGAGTAAAAGGCGCTTTTATAGCGGTTTCTGCATAAAGTTTCTAATAAAGTGTTCACTAAACGTCGTAAAAATATTGGAAATCAAGAAGAAGATCTGATTTTATATCATTTCTCTATACTTACATTGTGTGACGCATGCAAAACCAAAACAGCAGCTTTGCGGTTTGTCTGTAAAGAGAAGGAAAAGAAGTCTAAATTAGGTGGGTCAATAAGTATTCTTAAAGTGTCTGTTAAAGCGTCTTGTCAAGCTGAAAAACAACATGTATGAAGCATGAATTTTACGTCATCTTTAATCCAATTTCAGAGTCTGTCAGCTATAAAACATTTCACTTAAATGTTCACCTAAATGAAATTCATTGAGTAATCGACGTGCCACGTTTTATCTGAGTGTGACGCCAAGGGAACTGCATCACAATGGATCGCGCGCGTCCGTGAGGCGATTTTCCACGAGGACCCGTGAGAAAACGAGGCGCCCAACATGAACTGTTGAATCATGATGATCTTGAGCCGAAAACGGCGCGAGAAATTGCGTCAAAAATCAACATTTAACATCCAACAGTTTGCCTGGAAAATTGGAACATTTCTGATCGCGAGCAATATTCACTGGCGCGAGGTTTGAATCGTCAATAATTGATTTGAGTGGAAAAACAGTCGATTTTCAGGTGAATTAGTTGGAAAAAAGAGGAGATTCTACGTGATTTGACGGCATGAGAATTCTTACATAACATTGTGATTTTGCCCAGTGGCAAAAAGCATGATTCAAAGTGAGCTGCGAAGGTTCTTCCGATCATTAGGGAGTTTTCCTCCCAAGTCACACCTCGATATTTTGACAATGGCAGGAAAAGATCGATGAAATATTGCATTTTAATGTGCTTCTATTGCCAAACAATCTCTCTCTCTCTCTCAAATTACAAAACCATCACGAGCGCAACTCTTAATCATGGCCTGATCGATATTTAGTTTTTTGAGATCCGCGAGTGCGTGTGTTTTCGCAAAATCCTTCCACGACGCGATATTTCAAAAGTAAATCACATTTTTTGCGTGCTAGAGAACTATGGCTTCTGAACCCGCAGCTTCGCGCCAGTTGTGGAGCAATAAATTGCCGAGAGTCGTAAAGGTATTGCACAATAATGAACTTCTGCGGAGCGTCGCAAATAAAGAGTCGGTAAAAATAATAGTAAAAATATGGCACATAATGTTTTGATGTGCAATTATGAGGTGGATCAAGGGGCAGATATTATGGTGAGAAGTGGTGTACAGCTTTAAAGACAGTGTCAAGAATTGAAAGTTGTAAAATATTTCGAAAATTTGGATTTACTGCAAAAATTAATGCATTTTCTAAGTTATTTCGCTTAGAAAAGGTAAATTTTGGTTGCTTTTCTAGGTTAGGAGATTGATTTAAGACACATTTTGGCAATCAAAATGCGCTTTTAAATACTAAATATGCCTCTTTTTCTTAAAATAGTTAAGCATTCGTGTTAAAAATACATCAAATTGGTCAAATTAAAGTATAAATCAGCTTTAAAGTCAATCATAACCTCAAAAATTTCATTTCCATCTAGAAGAATGTTTATTTGCTTAGTTATTTCCGGACTTTGTGGTTTGAAGTGACGAATTAAGCCTCAAATATTAACAAATATTCAGGATTATGATGTCAAAAAGGATTTTTTTAACCGATTTTCATAACCTAACAATTTCGTCAGAAGTTTTCTAAGCATTTTCCGAAGGCAAAACTAGAAAATGAAGACAGAAATTTGGCACATAATCTTGAAATCTAACTAATTGAAGAATTTTAAGTTCCTCAGACTTTTAAAACCTAGACTAGATTGTGATAAGTCAGAATTTTGCTTTAAAAATGTCTTTCAAAGCGCTTAAAGAGAAGCTTTAAATAAATTAGAAAGAAAATAGAAATTCAAACATTCGCTTAAGTACGATTTTAGCAGAAGAAAATCGTAAAATATTGTATGAAATCGTGAATTCTACAGTTGTTAGTTAGATTTCGGTTAAATTTTAGTCATATTTCAGTTATTAGTTAATTTTAGTCTTGTTATAAACAATTCGTGAAGTCTGAAGTTCTGCAAAGTATCAGAAAGTACAGATTTCAGCCACATTATCTCCCCCTTGAGGTGAACGAGGTGAATGAGAGCCCAACTAATACCCTTCAAAGCGCTGGTATTAAAAAAAGAGTTGTTTGTGCGAAAGCCCATGTCTAAATTTGAACAATAACAATAGTTTTGCCAGGAGCGTAAATATCGCGTCTCGTGACGTGGACGCGTTTTTTTCCCCACCTGGAGCACTAATGTATTATTGCTTATTTTATGGACCCCCTGGCTTGGCGAGAAGCCAGTCAAGTCAACATTACAAGTTACTTTGGCCATAAATGAGGAATATGTTTGCCAGTGAATAGCATTGAAATGCTGACTCGAAGAGGCTTTAATTAAATATTCAGCGTGCATGGCAACTTCCACCTTGTCACTCTTGCCATGTGCACACAATTTCCTCCTGGTCATTTCTGCTGGGGCACAATCGGAAGTGGAGTGAGCGCGCGTCTGGAGAGTATTCCATTAAATTCCCATAAATTCCACTTGAGAAGTCGGTGCGCTTGTGCGACTTATTCCGGAAATCACAGCATCGCTCTTTCTCAACTTCCTATCGATTCTGTGGCGAGATGCCGCCAAACAATGCCACTTTTCACGACACAACCAGCTCGGCATTTCCTCTAAATAAGGCCAGACAAGACAAGTGTGTGTTTTGTAATCTATGACAACCTCCAGAATTGCAGGTGAAATTCATTGTTGGAAATTTCCCATTGATAAACTCGCTCTTTCCAAACGACTGACTCGAATTGTTATCTCTCGAATGTTGGGCTTTTTAGATAAAAAACCAAAGCTGCCTTTCGTCATATCATGGGAAATCGCTACACAAATGGATATTCTGGTAAAATATACCACGTGGATAGCGTTTAATAGATGCAAATCTGCTTAAGCTTGAACGACTTGAGACAACAAAAACCGATCCTTTTAAAACACTCTGTTTTTTTTTCAGAAGCTCTCTTATCGCAGATTATCGAAGATTTTCCCCACTTGAGAATCACATTTATAACTGTCAGTGAAACAGTGTAGAAAACATTAATAAACCTTAAATGTTGTCTCACCTGTTCATTAAAAAAAAAACCATCCAGCAAACAATTGAGTTGCGCGATAAGACAAATTGTTGAAAAAAGAAGATTTAAAAACCGTCAAAACAGTTTTTCCGGAGAATCACGCGAAGATTCCAGCCAAAAAAGCATCCAAACAACCGAGCAATTTGCCTGGGAGATAAAAAGAAATCCATCTTTGGCGTGTCTTAAAATCAATCTCGTGTTAAGAATAATTCTCAAATGTATAATTTAAGAAAAAAAAAAGCTGTACGTGAAGAAGACTTTTTGCCTTGGCGAGAGCCAGAAGAAAAAACGATAAATAATTGCTATTTGACATAATTTTGAGGCTCTGCGAATTCTTTTCACCTCTCGTTTTGACTTGGATGGAAAATGAACATCATCTGTGCCATCATTAACGGTAATCTCGCGCGGCAATAACTCATGTGGCGGATGGCAAACAATGTCCCGAGGGAGGGAAAGAGGCCCATCATCGGAGAATGAAGTCATTGAAGGCGTTGGACAATAAGTTGAGAGTTTGATGGGAATTTTGACGCTTTCGCGGGCAAATAAATTGCTGTATGGCCAAAAAGTCGGCAGCGCGGATTTGCATAAGTGATCTCTCGCGGGTCCATCGCGCGGCTTCTGATGGATCTTCCTCTCTCGCGGCTCAACAATGAGATCATCCCACCCAGAGACCGCATCAGGTGGCAAAACAAGAGCTGTCGGCAATGGGACTCGCCGCTCGTATGCTAATTTCAGGCGGAATTGTACAATTCAAACAGGTCATAAATTAATTCACCTCACATCATTGTCTTGGCGCTCTTGGGAGTGCTAGTCGCGGCACAGATGCAGTCGAAAAACCACCACAATGCCTGGAAGAGAGATTAACACGGAAGATTCTTCGATAGTGATCAATTGGAGCCACTTCATTTTCTCCAATTTTCCCTCCCACTGAATTTCATCATCATTTGTCGCTACGCCGCGGCGCATCTTCCGGATTGAGTCGCGCACTTGCTTCAATTGTCAGCTGTTGCGATCGCACGAAAGAATGGGTAACAGTAGTGCATGTCTTGGGAAATGGGTGACGATTCCTCGGCGGCAGATTATGACAGTGGCAGTGCAAGCAAACACGAAATCTCTCCCAGTTGAAGTGTGGTGAAAAGAGATTTTTGTTCATTGATTGTTCAGCACTCAACGGGAAGATGACGAAGAGCTCTTTGTTGTGCACAGAGAGAAATTAAACTCAGAAATCTCCAAGAAACAACCCCTGAATTTTCCAGATTTTACTCCTGATCTTTCTTGAAAACAAAACCCTCAGAAACAGTATAGAAACAACTCTCAGATTTTCTTAAATCAATCCTGAATATTCCTAATTTAACTCTTATTTTCTTCAAATTAATCCCCCGAAATTGTAATATTATTTTTATTATTTATTAACAAAAAGAAATTATGTGCTTTTTTTTCAAATCACATCATATATAATTTAATATATGTTTAAAAAAGTTTTTTTTCAGTTTAAATTGATAAACGAGGCATTTCAATAAAATTTATTAAGTTTTTAATTCGACGATAATTTCTAAATTTTTTTAGAAATATATTAATTTTTCTAAAATTATTGTTCCAGAAATATTTTAAACACAATCCCTGAATATTCTGAACCTAACTCTTAGATATTCTTAAAATTATCTCTAATTTGTTTTAAAGTGAGCCTAAAATTTATTAAAAATCAAGCCAGAAATTTCTTAAAAACCGTTTCCAAATTAACGCAAAATATACAGGATTAACCCTTCTATTTCTTAAAACAACCCTCAGAAATTGTAGAAAGAAAGCTTGAATATTCTTTCTTCTTAATTAATTAATTTCCTTAATTAAAAATGGGTTATTTTTGATTGGCGTTAATTCTGGAAAGTAAATTCTTATTCTGAAATTTCATAAGAGTTTTGTGAAGTTTCCAAAGCCAGCACAGAAGAAGATTTGATGATCTCTCCTTCGTATTTAATTGAGTGTCTACAAAAGAAATCCACTTTAT